TTTTGACCTCCTAGCAGTCCAGGAGTCTTAAGAGTCTTCTCCAGCACCACAGTTCAAAGGCATCAATTCTTCGGCGCTCAGCCTTCTTAATGTTGGCTGTATCTGAGCTTGAGCTTCATTATCAATCCTTCCAATGAGCAATTAGGGTTGATTTCCTTTAAGATTGACTGTTTTGACCTCCTAGCAGTCCAGGAGTCTTAAGAGTCTTCTCCAGCACCACAGTTCAAAGGCATCAATTCTTCGGCGCTCAGCCTTCTTAATGTTGGCTCAAAGGTCCATTGAAAAATAAAGCTCTTAAGCCTTCCAAAATATCAGGAGGATAGGGCTTTGCCTACTTCCCTGAGCAGCCACTTTACTGTTATGATAGTTGCTGCAGAAAAGGACCAGCTTCTGGTCAATACCTCTCTTAATTCCCCTTGAGGTAGAACCTTCAGGAAGCCCTCACTGGATGACTGGTCAGGCCACTGTTTCTCAACCTTAGAAACTTTAAGATGTCTGGACTTCAACTCCCAGAATTCCCCAGCCAGCATTCTGGGAGTTGAAGTCCAAACATCTTAAAGTTGCCATGGTTGGGAAACACTGGGTCAGACATATGCAGAGCAAAGCAGTCCCTAATATAACCCAATGTTGCAGTGTTCTAGGTGGTGACAGGCACTTCTGAATTGGTGCCAGAAGCCTCCTGGCAGTCAGTACTGCAGCCATAAAATGGGTGTAACTCTGCTATTTTTTTTTAATCCGTTCAGTTTTGTCCAGTGCCTGGACAAGACCCTGCAGTTTTCTTGGCAAGGTTTTTCAGAAGTGGTTTGCCCTTGTCCAAGGTCACCCAGCTGGCTTTGTGCCTAAGGTGGGACTAGAACACATGGCCTCTTGGTTTCTAGACTGATGCCTTAACCGCTACATCAAACTGGCCCTCTAACTGTATTATACCTATATACCAAAAAGCATGGTAGCTACTGATTGCATGACTGAGGGATCTAGTTATAATTCTTAAATGAATATTTGTATTAACAAGTGCAGCTAAGACCAGACAGAGCCACAGAGGTGTTTCCTTACCAAAATTGCCAAAGAAAACAGCTTTGGTTGTTTATATATACAGTAGAGCAAGTATTCAATTAATCTACACTATTGGACTGCATAGATGGCCCACAAAAATTAGTGTTTCGTGACTTGGCTTCCCTCCTGTAAAGTGTTGCTGTAATTGTAATAAATGAAGAGTTAAAGGTCAAGTTATAGTATTTGGCACAGGAGCCAAATATAATACTAATAATGAGATGAAATAAAATTATATATTTTATGATACATGTTTAGTCTTGTATGTAGAATCTATACTGAAATTGCTGGAAGAAATGCTCTCTTTTTAAAAGGCACAGAGCTCACATTTTTCAATAAAATGGGGGAGTTGGGGTACGTTTAATGGATTTCATTAAGGGTCCCCATATGTTTCCCAATAATATGGATGTTATGTGAGGATCCCGTCCCCACTTGCTATAGTCCTGGCTCAGCTTCGTGTAGTCAGATTTCCTTATTCCACATATTCAGAAAAACCATTAAGCCAGTTTTCTAAACACCATGAGACTAATTTAAAAGTCGCCATTAGGATTGTTGGCTTATTGAATTTATAAATAGCTTTATAAAAATGTGCTACAATTTTGTATACTGTACGTCACAGCAATGTTTCTCAACCTTGGCAACTTGAAGATGTGTGGACTTCAACTCCCAGAATTCCCC